ATTTGGCCCTTTGAAGGCAACTGTGAGGCTAATGTGGTCCCCAGTGAAAATGAGTTTGACACCCTTGGTCTAGTGGGAGAGCAAACTACCAACAGGTCATGAGAAAGTTCTGCTTTACTACAACGAGAGAGACAGACAGGGAGTTCCCCTGGAAGCTAGCAGGAAGCTTTCAGGAGGTTTGGCTGGGGTTCCTGGGGAGAGGGAGGCCTGGACAGGAGGAGGTGACTGGTGAGGGGGTGGGAGGTGGGACTGGGGGGTATGTGTGCGGAAGTGTGCATGTGTGTACGTGTAGTACACGTGGCATGAGATGAGCTGTGTGTTGTGTGCACACATTTGTACATTTCAGGGTAGAATGTTGTGGGTTGCTGCTATGGCCAGGGAAATAGGTTATAGGGTGCCCAGTGACTCCCTGGAAGTCACTCCTTCCCCACTGAAGTCACAGCACTGCTCCACCATCTCTGTGATTCTGAGGAGGGGCTCAGCAGCAGCAGCAGCAGCAGCAGCAGCAGCAGCAGCAGCAGCAGGGATCCTCTTTCCCTCTTCAACAAGCCCAGAGCTCCCCAGGCAACAGCAGAACAGCCTTAGTCCCAGTGACTGCTGTGCTCGGTTGACAAAATTGCTATGCCACCCCATCCTCTCCTCTTGAAACAAAATGTTATTAGCCTGTGTAGGAACCAATGTACTTATCAGGGACTCGACATGTGCGCACCTCAGTCCGGGCTGGTCCCACCGGCCTGTGAAGGCCCCCAGCCACCATGGAGCAATCTGAAACCTGGAATGGCTGCCTGTGGACTTCTGTCTCCAACTCTGCTCTCCCAGAGGTCTTTGTGTCATGTTACTTTAGTGTCTGTGAGAAATGGGATTTAAAATTCACTGTAGGCTAACAAACTCTGGCTTGCATATAGTCAGTTCTCGGTGACAGCTATCTTCAGGAGCATCACAAGCAGGAAACAGCAGGCACTTGGGTGAGGCTGACACTAAGAAGAGGGTGCATGTAATTCAGGGTGCCTTGGGGGTTCATGAGGGCAACCAGTCCTCCGTGGGGCTCTGTGCATGACTTATTTGTCCACACTCATCAACTGAGGACTGAGTTTTATGAATAATTTCAGAGAACAGATTTTGAGTCCTCTTACAGAATTTTCAATGATGACAAGTTTTTTTTACACCTTGATTAGTGCATGCTAACTTTTATCACTCAGTTAAAAGAGAGAGGAGAGGCTTTGGAGCCTGTCAAATTCATGTTCTGATTTGACCTTCAAATTTTGTCAGACTTTCACCCCGTTTTTCCACTTGTAGAACAGGGAGTAATATCCTAAGGTTTACTATGAAACCTGAGTGAGAGCAGCAGGGTCACTGAAAGGCATTAAGGCATTTGCTTCTCTTTCTTCCTGTATACTTTTCAGGTTCAAAGTCACTTTCCCTACAGCAGGGTTTTTCAAGGTGCAGGGATCATTTTTGTTGGTCACAATAAGGGCACCTAGGGAGTAGAGGCCAAACAGGCAGAGACAGCACCCCCACCCACACCCAAAATGTCAATAGTGCTGAGGTTGAAAAACCCTGTCCCAGTGGAACCCACAGAAGTCAGCCAAGGTCATGTTATCTAGACTTGGACCAGATGGAGGTTCAGACAAGTTGATCTGCCTAAAAACCATAGTGCTTGGGGTGGGGGTGGGGACAGCACATTCTGGACCCTAAGACGTGAAACCAGTCTTTTTCTCCCTCAAAATCTGCCACCTGTCCTGAGATAGAGTAAGAATAAGGGGACCACACTCTACTACTTTACTCCTGAGAAAGTAAAACCTTCAGTGGCTGGAGAAGCTAACTAACCTAGACGAGAGCTTTCACATCGCGTCACACGTGCTTATATTTACCAACCACAAGCAAACAAAACTTGCAGCTCATTTTAACTGGTGATCCTTCAGGAAGCATCCAAGGCCAGCAAAGCCGTGTCCCCAAGAGAGAACCATGACGCCTTGGCCACAGTAGCAGCACAGCTTATGTAGGGACGCCCACTAGGAGAGCTTAACCCTCTGAACTGAACACTGAGAAATGACAGTGCTCTCTGAATATGAAGATTCTGTCTCCCCACAAAAGCATGATGTCGTTTTGTGCTGATTATATCACGAGATACTCATCCAGAACAAATTATCACAGGCAGGAGAGAAGCCTGGATATACACTGACAAGGAGTAATGTTGGAAAATTATCTTGATGCTGCTGATAAAAGTGGGTCACTGACAACAGCAGTTGAAGCTTATTCTTTGACCTTTCAGAAAGTAATGTTCAATAGCACCAAAGACAAAAAAAATGAGGAAGCATTAGGGATTTTAACCTAAGAAAGTCATCGCTCAGACATAATTAATGATCATGAACTAGATTCAAAGTTTGATTTTGTTCATTGTTAAGTAAAATGACTAGATGTCTAGAAGTACTGTCATGAAGTGTCAATTTTTAAAATAGATTTTATTTACTTATAGAGGGGAAAAGAAGGAAACATCAATGTGTGAGAGATACATGGATTAGTTGCCTCTAACACACCCCCTACTGGGGACCTGGTCCACAACCCAGGCATGTGCCCTGACTGGGAATCAAACTGGCAACCTTTTGGTTTGCAGGCTGGCACTCAACCCACTGAGCCACACCAGCTAGGGCCATTAAGTGACAATTTATGTGAAAGTTAATATAAAATTCAATCCTTTGTCAGAACATTTATCCAAATTGGTCTATATATATCACACTTGTGTAAACCAATATTAATATTATAAAAGTCAATGTTTTTAGTTCTACATCCCAAAATGAAATTCTGTCTGTAAACTAGTCAACTGAGCCCCTTTTTGAAATACCATTTCATCATTACAGGAAAGTAAGTCTATCAAAAATTTCTAATCTTTAATAAAAATAAAGTGGTTTAGGCCAGATTGGTATTACCCCATCATGATGTACTATTTTGGCATAGAAAAAAATTACTTTCTCACTCATATTAAAAAGAATTTTTGTGAGCTTCCCAACTGTACACAGAAACCTAACCTATCCTCACCTCTCAACAGGTACAGGACCAACCACTGAGTAGGCATTAGTGTGCTATTAGAGAGCATAAGAAAAACCATGAGACAAATTACATAATTCAAGGCTTCTAAATGGTAAAATTACAAAGTGGGACAAATGTTTTTGAGTATTGAAAATGGTAAGATCCTTAACATTTTATATAAAAATCGACAAATGAGAATGAATAAAATATTCAGTTCATGAGAGACAAAGATATGAACAAATTGAAAACATCAGACACACAAACGAAGACATCACTGAGTGCCGAATGGCTGCTTGGTGTGGGTGTTAACATTTGAATGCTCTTGTTCAAGTGTATTTTACTGATTATGCCATTACAGCTGTCCCACTTTTTTCTCCCCTTTATCCCCTTCTCAACAGTGTCCCTCCCCGCTTTGTTCATGCCCATGGGTCATACAAGTTCTTTGGCTTCTCCATTTCCCATACTATTCTTAATCTATCCCTGTCTATCTGGTACCTACCAATTATGTACTTATTCCCTGTACCTTTTCCCCAGTCTCCCTCCCTCCCCACAACCCTCCATGTGATCTCCATTTCTGTTTGTTCCCAACTCTGATACTTCCCATGACCACGGATTTTTCTAGGTATTAAATCATGTGAAATACCTGGTACATGGTAGCTAAATAGGAGACAATAATGTAGACTGGCAACAATTAAAAACATTAGCCACACCTCGGTGAGGGAAAGTTGACCTCCACTCGAGCCCAAACTATGTGCACCTTAGTGGGCAGTGTGGGTACTTGTTATATCCCTTATGGTCTTTTCCTCAATCGAGCCCTAACACTACTTTTTCTCCTTAGAAAACAACCAGATAAGGTTTATTGCAGGATTACTTAGAATAGCGAAAACTTGGCAAACACCTAAATCACTGGGACTGGTTAAAAATGCTGTCCTTAATTGGATGTAACTCAGCACAGCTGTGAAGTCTGAATACCTGATTATACAGGATGGGCAAAATTAGGTAGTCAATAAAGCTATCGTAATAATCATAATCTGGCTTTTCCATACAAACTGTAAACCTACTTTGCCCATCTCTGTATTCTTTCACTTACTTGCCTGGCATGGCATTAAAAGGCAGTGTATACAACACTGTAACATAATGCACACACCCCACTGTTAGAAGGCTTGAAGGACTATGCAACAGAAGTCAATACTTTTTTTCTGGGTGATGGATTATACATTATATTCATTTGTATTCTTAAGATTTTAAATGTAATCCACATATGCTTTCTCTCAGGAGAAAATCATTTTAGTTTAGAAAATAACACACAAGGCGGGGGACCCCCTAAAATATAATTATCTCCGGCAAGGGAGGCCCCTGGTAGTACAGGCATTCCCTGCTAGGTGAATGTTCTAGAAACACATCTCTCTCAGGGTACCAGCTGGCAATGTTATGAAAGGCTGTGTTAGGCTTTGGTGAATTTTTTTTTGAAGACTCTTTGCAACACGTTTGTCCATTTCGTGATGGGTGGTTTATGAGCACATCTGCCCACTGAACGTTCAGTGTTCAGCAGTTTTGGGCCAAAACAAGAGGATCCCTATGTTCCACCCTCCCTATTCACCTGGTACTGCCCCGAGTGACTCTTTTGTTTCCCTGGATGAAAAAAGTCCTCAAAGGAAACATTTGCTGATGTGGAAAAGTGAAATAAAAAATGGCAGTAGCACTAAAAGGTATCAAAATTAAGTACAAAAACTGGTTTGAGCAGTGGAATAAATGTCTCAATAGGTGTACTGCAACAAATAGCACTTTGAAGGTGACTGAAGTTTAAACAGGTTAAGAACACACAATTTTTTTATAGATTCCATTTTTGGGGGCAGTCCCCTTCATATACAAGAGCAGAAAAAAAACTGGTTTTCACACAGTGACTTCATTTTTTCAGTTTACAGCACCCTCCCCGACCCCATTTTTAAGTCAGTGAAAAAACCATTTAGAAATGACACCATAAGATGAACTTTATTTTAAAGCTCATAAAAGACTTCACAACACCAGGGACACAAAGAACCCACATTTCTTCTGCTTGACATCTTCACAACAGTGCACTGTGTAATGATGAGATATCTGAAAGATTTGTTCTGCATGCTGCTAACACATTTCACTAGCATTTGCATTACTCAATAAATTTTAATATCAAAGCAAAAAATCATCTTCTATTGGACAGAATTTTAGAAAGCCCTTGTGAAATCCCACTGTCTTGTTTATAAAGATCCACACACATGCTGAAATGGAGAGCAAGATGCAAGAAAACTACCTTGGCAGGAACAAATTTTACCCACAGCCCTCTTGACAAGCAAGCAGTACAGTTTGTTTTAGCTTCTTCAAAAGACAAGTCAATTTCATCTTCACTGATGCAAATGGTAATACTGCACAGAAGCTTAGTATGAATTCACAATTCCACAGGAATCTGAAAGTTACCAAGGCAATTTTCCCTTTTAGGATCATAAAGACCACAGACTTAAGCTTTTTCTTTTTCCATATACTACACAAAGTTCTAAACATCCTTAAAAAAGAAAATATAAATAGTCTCAGTATGTTACGTAGAGTCACGTACTATGGCGAAAATTTTATTAATTGAAGGACAAAGCCAATTTAACGTTATCTAGTCCAAGTCCATGTTAATGGAACTCTTCTCATTAGGGTAACATTCACCATTCTGATGTGAAGGTTCAGCACCGAAATTATTTTTGCCTTGATCTAAATCATCTTTTTTATTATCAGTATTTGGGCCATTTGGAGTTCTTTCCAGTTTTGGTGATTCAATTTTTGGTTTGGGTTGTGTTACGACAGGTTCACAGGTGTTATTCAACTCCTAGAAAGGAAAACAAATTCAGTCATCAGACCTACTCAGATCCATCCAGGTCATTTTCTATTGCTTTCCTTCATATTTGAACCAGTACATTTCTACAAGTTCAATTATACATGTCTCAAAGAATACCATTTATTCATTACACTTTGTCAACACTATTGTCTGAAGCCTGATGGAGAAGTAAATATTTGCCTATGACATATAGCCCGAAGATAAGAAAAACCAAAGACCTGGAATTCATTGCAGCCTACTGATTTCAACAGCTCACGTTTCCTTAACTTGCACTGTGTCTGAATATTCTTCCAGACAGAAAGCAGTTCCTTGGGTTTTTCCCCAACTTCCTTCAAGCCTCACACACTGGGCAAGGTCTTTTTCTCCACTGTCCAAATTCTCCTAAACCCTTCTGGCTCTATTTGTTCCATCAGCACTTTATAAACTGTCAGATTTACTGCTACATGTGTTTATTGTCAAGTCTTCCTCACTCTAGCAGGTGACTTCCACAGGGCAGGGGCTTTCTTTGTACACTGGAAGTTTAGCTCCTGGTACAATGGCACATGGTAGGGGCTCGACAAATACCTTTGCTGAGCTGAATGAATAAATAAAATGGCAATTTAACAGAAACTCATAGAGTCTCTAATTTTTTGTGTTATCAATAAACCAAGAAATCTAGCTTCAGTCAGGATGAGGTAAAAGATTTATAGAAAAACTGGCCGTGTTCAGGGTTGAAACAATTACAACTTGAGTCCCTAAGAAAACACAACAATGAACAGACCACACTCACCTTTATTTTTGCTTTAATTTCCTGAGAACGTACAACTGGATCCTGATCAAGACTCTTTGTAGCCTGGGCATTCATGACATTATTCATCCACTCCATCACTTCATTCACAGACTTCTCAACCTTCTTCATTTCAGACTCATCAATATGGTTGTATTTCTCATCCTGAATGGAAAAAGCAATGTCGTTCAGTACAATTAGGTATTTAACAGTGACAACTAACTAGACAAAATTTTCTATGAAGTTCAAATCTACCTCTGGCCTCAAATATTGAAAACAAATTTCTTGTTTCAAAACATCTGTTCCCAACAAAGGCTCCTCAGCTTAAGTATTAGCTGATTAAAACCTCCTGCAACCTCCCGTGGGTGTATGAACTTACATTATTTCTGAAGTCAGCTGCTATCTTGACATAGTGCTGTAGCCTCTGTCCTAGTTCTTCAAACATTTTTGGCCGTTCCTCAGCTTCTTGAAATCGAACTTTAATTGGAGTGCCAATTTTCTAAAGTGAATAAATTAGTATTTGTTGTAATCTTATTTTTAAAAGTCTATAGTCTAAAACACAGGCACTGCTTTCAGAGGTGAAAGAAGGGCCTACCATTAATTCTTCCAATTTGTCCACATAGGCTTGTTTTGCTTGGTCCTCTCCTTCCTCATACAGCCAGTCCTCAGTCTCTGTGAGCAGTCTCAAAAATTTTTGATGGTCCTACACATGAAACATGAGAACCAACATGATGGAAAGTGAGTCAGAAGTGTTAAACACTGCCATGGTCAGTTGATTACAGCATCATCTGGATATGCCAAGGCTGCAAGACCTGATCAAGGCAAATATAAGCAGCAACCAATATAAACGCATAAAAAAGTTAAACAAATTGGCATTTCTTTTCTTACTCTTGCCCCACCCCCACCTTTCCTCTCTAGAATCTTATAAAATAAAATTTAAAAAAATTAAAAAATGTTAAATACCAAGTTATTTGCTCTTATTTCTAGGAAAGCACTCAGATCAACTGGACTGTCTTCACTAAAAAGCATCAAGGAGCAATGAATGCACCTACCATCAGCCCGTCCAGCATTTCACACAGGGACGCATGGCTTTTCTTTGGCTTCTCTATCCTTCATACTAGGACATTTGGGAATTTTGGGTAGATTGCTCTTATTTACAGTTATGGTATCTTATAAGTCCAACTGTGGACAATTTCCACATTGAAATGTGGATACAAAAGAGAAATTATTTTTCTACTCTTCAAAACAATTAGATTCTATTCATTTGTACAACCTCTGAGTACTCAAAGGGAAATGAGAAAGCTGATGATTCGAGCACTGAACACACGACAAACTCATTCCTACCCAATTCACATAACTATGTCCTGCTACTCTAGCCTTGGAGGTCTAGCCTGGTTGGGGTTATCTCTACCTCAAGAATCGCCATAAAACCAATCTAAGAAATGTTAAGGCAGAGCCAAGAACTAAAATGTATCACAAGGATCTCAGAACTAAAACAGACCAAGTTTAAATTCTTTTAACTTCAGAATTAATTCTTCAACTACCCTAGATCTCTACCCAATTTTGTCCTAAGTCCCATCTTTCACAGCTGTGCTTCTGGGATTTACTCAGAATTCTACTGACTTTGGGAACTTAGACAAGGGCTAAGGGGAACAGGGGCTGATAAATTTTAGAATGACTAGATGAACTAGTTTTGGGGAATAAATAGTAAGAGCAACCAAGTTATTAAAAAAAAAGTTTTTGAGGTCTCTGAAAGCAGAGATTTTCTTTTATTTATTTTTTTAGCCCCCATAACTGTGACTGTCATAGACTTGGAATTTCCTTCCTCTGGATGCTAAAAACTGAAGAGTCACTGGTATAAACTAGAACAGAACAAATCTGCACGTCACTATGAGCCTCTCTCTGGGACTTTGTTTATACAATTTTTATTTCAAGTTGGTTTGTTTCCAAAAAGCTCATTACATAATCTAGTAGAGGTTCAAATGTTAAGTTTGATATTAAACATTTTCTATCTGAATAAAAACCAGGCTCTAAACACACCTGCTCACAGATGAATTTTTCATATGGTCCACACAGCTTATCCCGGAACTCATACACATATTCCTCCACTGCATTTTTAGCATCATTTCTTTCCTTCTCCAATTTATCCTGCATTATCATCTTACCCTGTGAGAGAACAGAAAAGATTAATTACAAACTTTTGTTTTCTGTAATAAATTCTACCAAAAAATTAGTATTAGTGTTAACAATACTAATTTATACTCATACAACTCTTACAACAAACCCTATAAAGTTCTTCATTTTCTAACATTACATAACAAATTATGTAACTTTCTCATTTGAGAATTAAGACTAAGAAAAAAATTCACGTTTTATATTGTTTTCTTTTATATAGCGATATGGTTGTCTCATACTGAGATTTGATATTGGCCAATGGGCAATGACTGACCACTCTGCCAAACCTGAAAATCAAGGATAAATTACTTATATCCACTTAGTTATATATTTATTGTTAAACTTATAAACACAGTGTTCCCCTCTGAGCACAGAAAAACTGAATCTTAGTTACTTCACATACTCCAGACCACAGACAAGCACAATGTTTGAACAGAAGTATTCGGGGCAGCCTGTGGTATCGATTGTGCCACTTGTTCTGTGCTAGAAAACATGGGCATCCAATTTCTTCACAACATCTTCGGCAATCACAAGAATGAAAAAATATAAACAACGCTTGTTAAAAAATTAAACTGAAAAGCCATTGATTTTGGCTGCATCCTATCTGTAAAACTATATAAAACTTGTAATATTGAAGGATTATAGCCATTTATCTATTAGAAATATGGGTAACAGGGCCAAACAACAACACACATTCCAAAATATGTACTGGAAGTACCTACCTCTGTTTCAATGTACATGTTAAGCAGGTCTCTTCCCAGCTGCCACACCAAGTTAGCCTCAACAGGCAGCTCCACATTCACCACCTTGATTTTGGGTTTTTTAGCTTCTGGAGGCTGGTCAACTTTCTTTTCGTTTGCCTTAGGAAGATGGTAAAAATAAATAAATAAAATAAAAATCCTTGCCCTGGCTGGCATAGCTCAGTGGATTGAGCGCGGGCCTGTGAACCAGACAATCGAGGTTCGATTCCCAGTCAGGGCACATGCCTGGGTTGCAGGCTGGTTCCCTGAAGGCCAGTTCCCAGCAGGGGACCCACGAAAGGCAACCATACATTGATGTTTCTCTCCCTCTCTCCTTCCCTTCCCCTCTAAAGATAAATAAATAAAATATTAAAAAATAATAAATAAATAAAAATCCTTAAATAATCCTTGAAAAACAAAACTCTTCTATCTTGCTGGTAAGTATAAAATCCCCAACTATGAAGGTGGGAGAGAGTATAAGGTCGTCTGACTCCCACCCACCCATTTTAAATCAGGACTGTCATGCAACGGAAGCACGCCACTCTCCCATGGGAGAGTTCACCAGGACACTTCTCTGTTTTCACAATGAACTTAATTCAGTCTCTCCTGCTAAAGCTTTTCTCCATTGGTCTTTATGTTCTCATTCCTATGAACAATGACTATGACTCTCAAGAGTCAACAATATTAAACTGCTGCATCTTTGTATCTTTATAGTACAGTCTAGAAATTGACAATAACCACAGACAGACTGACCTGTAACACTAGAAATGTCAGGGTCGGCCTCTCTCTGTAATATATGCCTAAACCCTTCTGTACCAGCATTAGACTTGCCTTAATTACAATTAGCACTATATTGACAAGTGCCTTTCAACATGTCCTACTGAATCTGGAGGTCACACACACACTCGTCCTTATTTCTACTATCTGCCCCTGAGTCTTTTCACTTCTCATAAAAGTCTAAAAATAGCAAATAGAACGATGCAATGAATGCTGACAACTTATAGTGGGTTTTTCAAAATATGTAAAATAGGACTAAAGAAGTAAGCATCTCTCACGGCCTTTAATTGTCCAAACCTTTTCTGTTTATTTCCATTTCTGCAGGTTCCCACTCGCACAGGCAATGAAGAACACAATGTAGGAAACAGAACAGAAGATAACCAGGGGGTAGGTATATCACATGCACCCTGGCTAGCTGGTTTGGTAAAGTAGGAAGAGATGAGCCCACGGGTCACAGAAAGCACTGCCACTGTTTAATTTCAGGGGAGCTATAAAAATGTTAAAATTCTAGGCACTTCAGAGGAAAAAACTGGGACTTAGAAAGGTTCAATGGTCTGCCTAAAATTACAGAGATGGGACAAGAACTCTTGTTCCCCAGACTACTTCAGTGCTCTTCAGAGATCCCTCATCTCTCAAGAGCTACAAGGTGCATCACTAGCAATGACCCAGTCCATGTGCCTGCACTCCCTGTGTCTTCCTCCCTCTGGTGCACAGGAAAACACTCCAATACATTGTGCACGCTCCAGAGGCACGAATTACAAGAAAGACAAGTGGATCAGATCACATCTACACTTAGCAAAAACACTGGAGAGCAACAGATATTTGGGAAACAAATGGATGACAGTCTGTGTCTGGCAGTTAAGTCGGGATAAAACTATCTGTACAACATTACACCAACTGCTGACAAAACCAATGTGTCAACACAAGGGATCTGACGTGGCATGGACAAGGAGCCCTCCGTGCCGGTGTGTGAGAATGTTCCAAAAGGCCTGATGCTGGTGCTCCCCCTACAGCTAAAAGCATGAGGTGCTACCAATGGCACGTTCCAGACAGGTACTGACATCACAGGCACCGTCAATTAATGCTTAGTAAGTGGGGGGAGTGATGATGAAATCAAGGAGCTGTTACTACGAAGGAAGCAGTGCTGCTTCACGGGCACCATCAACTCTAGCAGGAAGGCTTTCAGAGACCAGAACCAGGACCTAAGGCTCACACCAGGACCCCCACAGAGGAACCAGGACACGGGGACATTAAAAACTGGAAACTTCCACCAACTGTAAAACGTCTAAAGAATTCTACCCTCACAATGAGAAAACCAAACCACTAATGGAAGGTTATTAATTTACATGCAACTTGCCAAGGAATGAACTTCTGCAAAGCACAGAATGATCTGGAGAGACAAGAGAAACTTCCTAACATCCATCCAACTATAAATTTTAAAGGTTTAATTAGAAACCAACATTAAAGGGACACAACACAACTATTTAATTTAGCTTCCAACATATACTATGGAAGCAGGGCAAAAGAGCAATTACTTTGAAATGCAGTCTGGTTATTTCCAGATCATCCTAATTAATTTATTCAAATTTGACAGGTGATGTGAGAGGAGAAGAAAGTACCAGATTCCTGTAGCCCATGTATTTATCATTAGACTAATTCAAGTGGCAACTAATCACACAGCCCTGGGCGGTATTTATTTTTGCTCTTCACATTAGCAAGTACCTCTGGCACTACAGAAGGCAACCAAGGCTATGTGTCTCCTGTTGCTTGCAGTGACAGTTAACCAAAAGAAACCTTCAGGTCTAAAGCAGGATATTCAATTCCCTTAGTTGGGCCTGAGTACCTTCAACTGGTATTAGTTGAAAAACACATCGAAAATCAACAGGAAAATAAAAAACCCTACATAAACTAAGTAAGGCAACTTGGTGCCTGCGCTTGAAACTGCAGATTTAATGATATCATTAATGATCACAGGTTGCAACATTGTCTATGGAATGAACTAGAAGCATCACTCACTTTGTCAGCATCTGGGGTTTTGTTCTCTTCTGAGGTAAGTTCAGGTGAAGGGGCAGACTGTGAGGTCTGTTGACCATCAGTTTGTACCTGGGGCTGTGTTCCAGCTTCACTGCTGTCTTGCTGGACATTTTTCTGAAATGAAAGCCCAGGCACAAAGGATGTAGAAAGCAGGTGTACTTGGATAAATGTAAAGGTTACAGGGCACCAGAGACAGTACGCTCAATTGCTGAAATCTTAACAGGTGGGGGTACAACACTAGATAATAGCAAAATGAACACAAAGAATCTAAAAACCTGTTAGAAATCTAAATCTATAAAAAATTATTTCAGTGACAGCAATTAATATAGTTAAATAATACAAATAGTAGGCATTTTGACTGATGTGAATGACAATAACTTTCCTTTAAAAAATCTCCACCTCGCCTTACAGTGACTCCAGAAAGCAAAGGAAACCGGTTTGCTCCAGGCCTACCCCAGAAACAAGCTTCTGAAACCTAATGTCACCAAGAGTCACCGTGCATGTGGACACATCTCCACTTCAGTGAGCTGAACGGTTCCATGCAAGAGCCAACTGCCAGTTACTCAGGGCTCATCATGACAGCTCAGACACACAGACCCCTTTCTCCCCACTGCTTGTGGTCCAAGTAGTTACACCCAAAAGACCTCAGCATGAAGATTATATGCTACTTGACAGTGACCTTCCTGCCCACCCTGAAGCCTCTCATGGTTTTCTGTCAGAGTTTCAAGACTCCAAGGTAGACAGACGCTGAAGTGTTCAGAAGCCAGGCACTCCTGGTATGTCCAGAAGGTCCCTCAGAATGACACGACAGGCATTAGAACAATGGTGTCTCCAGACAAATAAGAAAACCCATGGCCCTGGTCATTTTGCTCATTATACTGAAGTCTGTCTAGATGAGAACACTAACGCTCAGACATTAATGTTCCTCACAGTTCTAGAAACAGAAGCCTCTGATTACTATTCTCACATCTTAACTAAAACACTATACTGATTGCCTCTTTATTTAAGCTATTCCTTATTGTCACCCAGAAGTAAAGTTTCTTCTGTTGACCACGTAATACTAGCACTCATGCTAAAGGAGGTCTAAATTAAGAACATGAGCAGTAACAACTTTCTCTGCTCTACAAGGCCACATCTCTTCCTTCCTCCTACAATACAGCAAACCATAAAAATAAAAGCAAATACCAAAGCCAGTTTTGACATTCAAAAAAAAAATCATAATCAACTTTAATATCTGTCATGTATTCCACCAAACAGTTTTTATAATAGACTTTTTTTCTTGACCACCAGTCAACATTTTACTTCTCAATGTGGTTTGTCTTTAAGAAAAATAATTCAAGAAACTTTACCTATTCCAAGGAAATTGTCAAATGCCAGTTCAAATGAAGCTACACAGATTAATCACAATTCACCAAACTCTAGACTGTACATTAACATTATTGAACAATTGCTGATTCTCATCATCTAAAATTTTAATAAAAATTGAGCAAACATATTTTAACTCTTCCCTACCCTTCTTTTACAGCTCAGGATTAAGTCAACTACATATTCAAACTTAAAAGGCTCATGCTCAGACCTACCTCAGTGTCTGGGTTTTCTGGTGGCCTCTGGCTCTGACACTCCATGTCTGCTTCCACAGAAGGCGGGGCTCTGTCCTCGGCAGGCACTTTCTCCACCATCGACGCTGTGGAGATGGTGAAAATGCCATGCGTGTTGACTCGCACTTTCACTTTTACTCTCGATTTTTCTCCATCTTTCTGTGCAGAAATATTTTGAACTATGAAGCGGCCTGAACAAAAATAAATCAACAATTTTAGAACTGAACCTACATCTCTATAAAGATGACAAAGGCTAAGAACTAAGCTTGAAAGTACTGTTAACCCTAGATCTCATTTTCTCTACCAACTGAATAAGACTTACTATACTGTGCCATGTATAATGTGTACCCATGTTTTTGGCTCAAACTTTCAGGAAAAAAAATCTTTCATTCTAAAATTTTAGTTCAATTTTTTATTTGTTTATACTTAGAAACAAAACCAATTATTGTATGCTAGGGTATTTTACATATGGGTACCGTTATTACTTTCTTAGAGTTATACTTTTAATGCATAAGCATAAATAAAAGAACTAAAAACATTTATATAGCTACAAATTAGTAGTACCCATGTACAACGCATATCGTCATTTTCCCTCAGAAATTTGGGCAAAATAGTGCACATTATTCACAGCAAAATATGGTAAGTCTTTTCATGTATATTTATAAGCATAATCTCTTAATATGCCATGAAGTCCCCAAAGGCCAAGGGCACACTTGTGGCCATTTTTATTTAACACTTACACCACCACCACCATGTGTAAGACACTAATGAACAGTAACCACCGCCTCCTCTCCCCCTACTTCTCCAAGTGGGTGAGCACAAACTAGAGTGAAAAATCATTAGCAAGTGAAGGGCCGATGATTATCAGGCTGTGCTGCATTTCAATCCTATACAGTCTTTCAGGTAATATCATTTTTTCTGACTGAATAATCAAAATAGTTTCCTAGATTTTAAATAGGCAAGGTGAGCTAAAACCTTCATCAAAGCTTGACATTATGATGCACGATGGAGTAGTCCCAGAGCATGACTAAGGAGGAGTTGGATGCTGACTCTGACCCAGTCTGTGACCAGCTGCAAATTACTTGAGCTGGTATTTACAGTGAGCATGAAGAACTATAGAACCAGACACTAAGTGTCAGTGACCATCTCCACCAAGAGTGTAATTCCCAAGACAGTAAGAGATGTTGGAATATACCTTCAGCAACCATCATTTCACTAGTTTGGGAAGTAACTGCCATTAAGACCCACTTACAGAACAGCATTTACTATGTGGTAGAAAGAGAGACAAAGGGGGTGGGGTGGAGGGAGGGAGGAATTTCTTTAAGTATGTGCAAGCTTTGTCAGTGTGGGTGATAATATGAAAAATTTGGTACCATGCTAAAAAGCTTGATTTTATCCTCTGCACAATGGAAGTTATGCACAGAATCTTAAGTCAAAATTTCAGTCTATGTTCAATAATTTCTCCCCAATAGATTCATAAAAACAAAAAAACCAGAAAGGAAAAAACTGTCAGAACTTTTAAAATTTAAGGTAAGTAGTAAGAAGAACATACAATTGGCCAAGGCCAGGTCAGACTGCTTCCACAATTTCGATATAAAGGGCTATAGGCAAGGGTGAGTCCTGAAGAGATCTGGCAATATTAGTAAGTTCTACTCACAGCCTGGGAAAGAACATGGCCGCTGAGGCAGATGCCTCAGGCTGTACCACAGATTTGTAGAGTTACTGTGTGTCAAACTAGATGACAGGTGCATTTGAGAAGTAGCTCAATGGTTTCTAAGGCAAGTTTTAAGCTGGAAGTAACATTGTGTAAGTAGTGTTTCACCTAGAGGAATGGTTGATGTTATGAGTAGGTGGTAATTCCTTAAATATAAATAACATCAGAATATGGAACACATCAAAGTGTTGCTAAATATAGATCCTTAGAAGTAACAGAACTAGCAATTCCATTTCACCACTGTAGGCCAGTTGATTCATCAATAAACAAAGATTTTTCCATCACCATTATCCTAAATCGAAAATGCCTTCCCTCAGAATTATGTTCCACTCAATACTGCTAAAAGTTTCAAGTTTGTACACTAAGTCTTAAGTCTTTAAGAGTACATATACTTAAGTGCTTTACCTATTTTTGCTTCTGGATATGGAACTCCTTGAGGATCAGAATAGAAAGCTTCCAGCTCAAAAGGTCCGCTTCTCAAGAAGGTGAGAACTTTGGAGAAGGGGGCAGCATGGTTCCGACTGAACACCTCGTGAACACTGGGGAAGGAAGGGCAGTCAGAATATCAAGTACTGAAGCTTATTGTGCTACACAAACAGAACAGGGACATTACAAAACCTTTATCAAGTCTATCTCACCACTTATATCACCAAAATGAGAGTAATACTTTGGTAAGTTTGGTTTTTTAAAAGTCCCAGCTAGGTTAATCAGACACACTACCATTCAAGTCATCTGTGACTTTCCTTCTTTATAGTAAAACACATTATCTGAAATTTCTTTTTTGATACATACCCTTCAGTGTCTTCTGAATCGTGGCTCCACACAAGAGATATTGGAAAAGAAACTGCATCCGTGACAGAAAACTCTCTAACTTTAAACGCTGGGGACAGGATTGCACACTTCAAAAAAGAAAGAAAAAATTATTTTCAGCACATAAATAATTCACTCACCTTTTAACATAAAACTCAATTCAAACGGAATGGGTAGGTTTAAATTCAAATTCAAAATTGCTTTACATCAACTATAAAAACTTCCCAGGTTTCTGGGAATTAGTGATAAGGAGGCATATTCTATTATCAAAGAAAATAAAAAACAAAAACTGGAGGATGGGATAGGATGATACAACAGATAATCAGTAATAAGAAGTATCTATATACTCTTCCTTTTTTACGTTTTAAAGGGTAGTCCGTCTAAATACCTTTGTCCACAGAATCTCTTGCTTTGTACTAAAAAATATGCTAACCAGATCAAAACTCAAGCATGTTAACTGAAATTTTAGTTAAAACTACTTAATTTATTTAACTACATTGTCCTGAGTATAAACTGAAACTAATTCTCCTTTTTATCAGTAATGTCTAGATTTGGTGCTTTTGCTTTGTGGAACGTCAGGCCTCTGGGCTGCCTTCTTACTTGATAAAAACAGGTTAAAATCAATTTGGAGGGGAAGCAGCTCTTTCCTAAAACCAGTTAACGAATATACCCTCAACCCTGCAAACTCTCCCCCACATCACTTCTGTATTACACCAGACTGTCATTCCAGGTCCCACCTATGTGCTCTGTAACAACTGTCACCCCTACAAAGCTAGTAATTCATGTGTTACAGCTGATTTCTGCCACACCCAGAATGATGCCACTTCCTCATTCCCAGTTTGAGAAACACTAGCTCCATAGATTCTTTACTCTCGAATTTCCTGGATTGTCCAGATTTGAAGACGCTTGTCTCCCCACAGCCTTACGGACTTATTAAGTAACTCCCCTGTGGTATCTAATCAGGCACAGGGCTTTCTGACCACCTGACGCCAGCACCATGTAAGGAGGGAAAAGAGGTTTCTGGCACGCCTACAGGATGGCTTAGGATGCATACCTGCAGTGCACAGCCTCTGGCAACTGCTTCATCTGCATTGAGCGTTGTGCTAACATCTTTTCCAAAGAATTTGACAATTTTTTCTTTCACAGCTGGAATTCGTGTAGCTCCTCCAACGATCTCAACAGCATTCACATCTTCTACTTTAAGCTGCGTCTGTTCCATTAGTGAATAAAGAGGAAATTCTATCCTTTGCAGAAGTTCAGCACAGAGTTCTTCAAACTGTGCCCTTGGTAAATAAGAGGAACACTTATAAATCTTCAGAAAAGTTACCTGAAGGTCAATATCTTGTTTTTAAACAATAAATCTTATCAACCCAATGAATTTCCTTTTTTTATCAGACACCCTGGATTCCACATGGGCCAAGTTTAACTGTATTGTAATTTGTAACTTTTTAAAATACAAATTTACAAAACAGGGAGTGGGGGAAAAGAATCACTTTTACATTAAGATTGACATTTTACTCCTACGTTTTACATGATCCAAGTCTTGTTACTTTTCAAAAAATTTCCACTGATTTCAAAATATTTCTGTAAATACACTATTTGGTAAAGCACCAATCAATTGCTAACCCAGAATTACCAAAAGTAGGAAAAAAAAAGGTCCAACATGAGGGTGCATGAGGGTGCTTAGCAAAGATCTTTCTAAATCCCCTCTTAGCAGAAGTGCCCTCATTCTAAGGATGTTCACAGTCTTCCCAGCAGGTCCCACACAACTGTGGGCCTGATGCACAGCACCCCAACCAGAAGTTCTTCTTATCTGCTGACAGAATTCAGGACGCACCTGTTCATCTTTCCTGACACATCCTGGTCATTCATGAAGCACTCAATGCTCAGTGGCAGGTCTGTGCTGTTTGAGCTCATTAGCTTTTTCAACTTCTCACATTCTTGATAAAGACGAAGAAGAGCTCGAATTTTGGATTTTGCATCTAATTTGTACTTAGTTTTAAATTCTGCACAAAAATGGTCTACTAACTTCTCATCAAAATTTTTTCCTCCTAAGAAAGGATCAAAAGCTGCTCCCAGTACCTAATTTAGTTAAAACAATAAATAATCTGGTTATTTTCAAACATATTTTTGACTACAATCTTAAACATTACTACTCAAATAACTTAAGACTAACATGCTCAATACTTCTACCTAAAATAAACATGAAATCCAAGTCAGGAGAAATGTTAACTACAAAATCCAAATGAAATACTAAATCTTTTAAGATAGTTTTGACTTTTAATGATTACATAAAGATGATCTGAAAAAGCCTTTCTTGCCAAGAGTATGCCAAGACATCATCTTTATAAAGATCAGCCTCAGGGAAAAATTCCCTGTTCACACCGTGCCCCAGCACTCTTCATTACCAAGGAGACCACAGTCAAGAAGCCCAGTAGGCTTAAAGTAATGACAGATAACACACGCCTAATAAATTTTGGTCACTTAATTCCAATGTATGATTTTACCTTCAATTTTCCCTTGTTAAAAGCACAGGCAGACACCTGAAAAGCTGAGTGTCCCATATCAACGAAAACCACTATCCGAGGTTTCTCATCAAGGCTTGGGAGATCCTGCTTATAAATTCCATAATTCAAAGCAACTATAAAAAAATAAGTGAGTTTCAATTCTTTGAGTCACATTTTCTCAGGAATTTCATTGTTACAATATAATTATACATGCAGGAAACCTGACTATACTTCAAATAATTAAAGCTGAACACACTGTTTTTATACCCTGTATCGTACTAGTTTTCTTGGTATTGATTACTCCCCCCCCCCGACTTTAGCACAGTGCTCTGTCATCTTCCGATGGATGTATGAACACACACAACAGAGAAAACACACAGTGATATGTCATCACAAACAGCTATCAGACTCACTACACAATACTCACATTTGAACCACGACCTGCCAGGAGACTGCTCATCCAAAAAAATTAAGAATTTAATATACAACTAAGGAACTGTAGTTCCTACCAATTATTTTTAGATCCAAGACAAATAACTGATCTCCCTTAAAGAGTCTGTTAGCTTTTTCTGAACTTTGAAACCACTATATCTCTAAATATGTATACCCAAGAACATGGCTTTATTGAAACTTTAAAACTTAGAATCCATTAGAAATATGTTTAAAAGCCTAATTTATTTTGCCTAACATTAAACTGTAACTGAGTTTTTATTCATCTGAAATCATAATAAACTCATAAAAGCTCTAGGAGGAGGTAACAATGACTGCTTTGCTCAACAACCCAATGCCTGGAAAATGATATAGCTTAGTATTTGACTGAGATGAATGGTCGATGCCTAACTACATGTATTTGGGAATTATGGGAGGAGAACATTTTTTTAAAGTACATCAGTAATTGTAGGCAAGGTAGTTGCGAAACCCATAATGATAAGATTTTGGGAAAACTTAAAACTATAAAAACAATGTAAAAATTTTTAAAAAACTAAATCTATACACCTAATCCAAGAAATTACAATGCATACAGAGTGGGGTAAAACTAGGTTTACAGTTGTTTGTAGGATAAATACAGTAATATAAGAACAAACCATTTTGCACACATAACTGTAAACTTACTTTTGTCTCACACAGTATATATAAAAAATTTTCTAATGTAAACATATTCATAAATCTGACAAAGTACCATTTCTCATTAAACGTAAGCATCTGAAAAGCTGGAATTTTTGCTTTCAAACCTAACACGTTTTTAAATAGTATTTCTGTACCAATGTGAAAGTATTCAGTACTTGCTCCTAATGTGTCTTAGCTCTAGTTTTGACAGTACAGTACATCACACAAGTTCTTGCTTACCAGCTGTCATATCATTCATGAGTCTTAAGCAGTTTAGGCCAACAATTTGTGCGGCATCTAATACAGATCGTCTCTCAGCATCTGTGAAGAAAGAAGGGACCTACAGAGAAGGACAGAAAGAATTTTAACATACCAAAAAAACCCAAAATACATACAAATTCCTTATAACCGCTTGTAATAAATTCTTAACATTCTAGCTAGATAGGTTCCTAGCTAAATCATAAAACAGAAATAAAACTTTAGGCTTAGTTTCTAGCAAGTTCCTTAACATTAAGAACAGTTAACTTACTTTTTAAAAGATTGCCCTAAACTTACAGTATCTACAAAGTACTTCTTTATTATAACCAAATTTTAATTCAAAATAAAAATTAACCAGTTTTCATTAGGCATATTGAGGTTTTCAAATGTAACAGAAAGCTTTAAATTTAAGTGGATAAAATACCATTTCCAAATGTCTTAAATTTCTATTGATATTTGGAAGTTATAATGCTAAGTCAACATTTAACATTAAATATAACTATAGCTATTAAAGACTACCAAAAACTTAAATAACACAGAGCTAATCCAAGCATATACCACTGCCCTTTAGTTTTGCTATTTGTTGAGCTCAAGCTGTACTAGATGATGCAGTATCTTCTACTTCAGTAGACATGTTAAGATTACAAGAACTTTTTTTTCTTTGCAAAGCCCGTTGATTTTCCTAAGAGGAAGAAGAGCAAAACAGCTCAAAGGGACAAAGGTTCTCATGGTGTTGAGTGACTGGTGCTTCTAACTAAAGCTTTTCAATCACATTTAGGACTACAGCTTAACTAGGATACACCTCAAGAAAAACATCTAACAATACATTCACAGTAGCATTTAATTAGAAAGTACCTAGGGGAAAACTCAGTACAGTGGACTTCACACATTCCTTCGAAAATTAATTGTAGAAGCTTCAGAAAGAGAGACAAGAATCAACATGAGTCTCTGGTTCACCTTGCAAATCAGAACACCGTTTTCATCAAATTAAAGGGAAAAAAAGGACCACTAATTTATAAGTTGATTTTTTAATTTTATCAGAGAGTAAAGTAATAACTCTTAGTAAGAGGCAAATATCCCTGTGGTAGGTCACACTCTATCTTACAAGAGCGAGAGGAGAAATTCCAGCCCTGTTTCTGCTCTTCCATATCCTAGCACACACTGCCATAAAGACTCTGATCAGTCCACCCAGGCTGTAATGAAAGTCCGTGGTGTGCAGGTATGTCCCGGGGCAGAGCAGATCAAGAAGTTACCCTAGACATTTGAGAGAACTCAATTCAAACTACCTTCTTTGGCGTCCAAATAAAAGGTGGTTTTTGTCCATTTCAAATACTCTCTGATAACCTAACAACTGTCCATTGGAGGTAGTAGACTGGCTAGGGCTGAAAATCTAGGTTTTGTTAATATTGGTAGGTTGTATTTTAAAACTTCTAACACTACCCCTTCTCAACTTGAGGAGTGGGATTCAGAAAAGCTCCCGTCTATGTACACAAGTTGTTTAACAGTATTGGCAGCCATTAGAATATCCCCCATTCGAATAATCAGTCTGTATTTTCAAAAAGACCCACTGGTTTGATTTGCATTTCAAGAACCTTTGGGACTTCTGGCTATAAAAACCACCTGAACCTCCTCTGACCATGTTAACACAGAGTCCCATATAGTTTTGATCCCTAGTAATAGAACAGCTTTCACACATTGGACACTTGAGAGTAACGCAAAGCAGACAAACTAAAGCACACTGCCTTGCTGAATTCTACTTACTGAAATAACACAATCTGTTACTGGTTTCTTGAGGTTGTTTTCAGCAGTTTCCTTTAACTTAGTCAACAGCATGGCTGTTATCTGTTCCACACTAAACAGGTGTTCTTCATCCATGTACATTACCTATTTACAGAAAGAAAATGTTTTAATCAATGGTACTTAAAGCTACCTGCTAATATTTCCTCCCAATTATTACATATTCTCTTCCAGAAAGTCTCTACTGTCATAGTTGTTTAGGAAAGAAGGAGAAAAAGGGGAGAGGAGGGGAGCAAAGTGAAGAAACAGTTTTTCTAGAGATGAAGAGAAAAAAATGGTAACAGGGCAAAGTTTCCCAACTCTAAATACTAGTCGAAACATTATAGAAGGTAGTAAATTTCCACTCTAGAGCTGAATCATTGTGATAAATATTATTTTGTGTAGATCATAAGACAGGAATGCCTGTGCGAGTTTAAAAAAAGATTTCTGGTTGTATTACAAAACAGCTCTCCAAACAATGCAACTTGGCTGCCCTAAACAGAGTTTTATTTGACATGACAACACAATTTAGGTTTTTTAAACACCACTAAGTAAACCTAAATTTTACAATTGTCAAGAAATTACAAGAAACACAAAACAAGTTATAGCTATCTATACTTTTTGAATAATTTTCAAGGACAATTTAAAGCTATACCTACAATTAAAAGAAGCTAGGTGAAAAAAAGGGGGAAGACCATCCTGTTCAATGAAGAGAGAACAGTTAAATTCTCATTAAGAATTAAGTATCTTTCTCTATAGATTAGTTAGCTTTATACTATGATTCTAAGGTTGCTCATATATTATTACCTTTATTCCAACTCCACCATTTTTCATTGGAACCAAATCATAACTTAGGTTTTCCTTCTCTTTTTGAATGAAGGGGTCATTGAATGCTCGACCGTGAAACCTCTTGAAGTTTGACACTGTATTGTTTGCATGAGTGATTTGCTGCACAAGAAATTAGAGATTTTAAGTTATTTTCTAAATTTCAACACCTATTAGTACTTACAGCAATTTTAATAAAAAGTCATTTGTAGAACTCAAACCATGGGGACATAAGTAACTTTCCCAGAGCCCTGAATTAACCCATCAATGAATGAACTTCATTCTTTCTCCTTTTCCTATAGGAAGGCAGAAAGAAATAAGAGGCAGTATTGTCACTACAGACTTTAGAACAGATTTCAAAAATCTTCAAGGTAACTTCGTAGAGAGTGGAACTATCACTAAAGCTTTGAAGCAACCACCAAGAAGTACAAACCTTTATTTCATTCCTTTTTCCCACTAAACTTGTTTTCTACCCACTGAATGGATAAACAAGGACATCTAGATGTACTACACTCAAAATTATATATTTTTTAAAAGAACTCATTATTACAGTCTAATAAATTGCTAAATGACCAGAAAAAGCCATTTTGGGCCTCAAAATACATGGAATGCTACTTTTCCTACCAATAGCATGCAATGCTAATTATAGCAAAAAGCAGAAGGGGCAAGAATAATTCAAAATGTTCTAAATGACCTAATGCTTTCAATTGTACATAACACAATTTTGATTAGGCTTTGGATTAAAAAGTCCCACTTTACAGCATTATTTCACCCAAAGACGTCAGCAAAGAGAACCGTATTTCAAATACAGAAATAATTAAAATAAAAGATTAAAAACTGAGACTTCTAAAGTTACCAGCTCAAGAATATCAAACAGTTCAATTACTTTTTTTCTCTGACCTATTTTTTTAAAAGGGAATAATACAGCTTGGCAGTACTTGTTTTCGCACAATATGAAAATCATATTTATAATCTAAAATTCCTTGTGATTCTATAACTGAGATGAAGAATGCCTACCATCTGCAAGCTACATCTGAGCCTCAACTGATTCTCCTCACATAACCACAAAAAGGTAGAAGTGCCTCTCTCCTTTTGAGTGTGCATACCTATTTCTTTTCTGGCCCTTGTTTTTCACCTCTTGTCCTGTGTCTCATCTCTTCCAACTAGCTAAAATACAATATTCCAGGATTTAGAATTTTTTTTACCAATACTATATTTTCTGTACTTAAAAGAATTTCTTCAGTCTCTTTCTTACTGCCTCTCAGAAGGAATTCCATTTTTTTTTTACTGTATTTTCCCCCCAATCCAAGAATTATAAAGTGGGCCCTAAGTGCAAATGACGTATGTATATTTTTTGGTCACATTAAGTAGTAACAGGTGAAATTAACTTCAATAGCTTATTTAGCTAACGTATCTAAAATACTAAAATACTATTATTTCAACATGCACTCAGTATAGAATACTTATGAGACACTTTATTTCAGCTTACGTGTTCAAAATCTCACGTGTATTTTCACTTTACATTTCAAGTCAGACTAGGTACATTTCAAGTGCTCAGCAGCCATGTACAGCTAACAACTACCACATAGAAGAGCACAGGTCTAAACACAAAGTTCTCCCAGCCCCACCTTAATTATTAAGCGACAGAAAAACACTTTTTAAACACAGGACTTCCAGAAGGAATCTAATTCTTAAATGAATGTCAGAGAAACTTCACATAAATTACAAGGTAGTGAAGTTATTAAAAATTGAGGTTGGCAGATTAGACAGTAAAGTAGATCGTATTCAATAAAACAAGAAGGGAAGAGGGGGAAAACCCATCTAAAGCTTCATAAAGATACTCTCTCATATTTTTAAAACTCAACAACAGACAAGCTTAGGTATTCTATACTCTTTCATGTCCTTGAGATTTTACCTTTAAAATCTCCCCCCTAAAAACTGACTAGAATTCTCTCAGAGAACATACCTGATTTTTGGCTGCAACTCCAATCGTTCTGTTTTTTGATCCAAATGATATGACTGACCTATAAAATAAAGCACATTTCAAAAAAAGTTAAAAAACAATAAATACAGCCATTTGTAACTGACAAGAGAGAAAAATCCAATATGAATTTCCTACCCATGGCAGGGAGGGGCATGAGTATAAGGCAACTTTGGAGTCTAAACTTTGGCCAAATACTCTGATGGGGTCGGGACCTGTCCACTTAACTCCTACTGAGAATCCAATCTAGAAAGCAGTCCTGTCCCCCTAGCCCAATTCCCATGAAAGTCTGCTCATGGTTCAGGGAACATTTCCTAATACCTCAAGTACCAGTACAAGTTCTTCAGGTTCTCAGTTATTAGGAGGTACTCATTAACTCTGAAAATACTTTGAATAGTTAAATGATATTTTTTAACTTGGCCCCAGATATACAATTAACAAAAAATATGGTGTAATTCTACTTCTCGGCCACCAAGCCTATACAAATCTAAGTATCATTGTTACTTCTACTGGTGTACTGATAATGCTATCTACCTCTAAGATAAAAAGTCTTTCTATAAACCCACAAAGTGGGTCTAAGTTATGCTTCTGGGATTTAAAAGCACAAAGAGGGTCCTATATGAAGACTACTTCAGAAAGCCAAGTAATGATGCAGAGAATCATTACAGCAGAATGGAGTATAAACACTGAAGGAAAAGAGTGAATGATGAGTGACAGTCAGCTTTGAAGACATGAAAAGTGACCCGGTGACTGTGAGACAGCCTTCCAGCAATGGGAATGCTCTGCTGCACAGGGCACAAACAGGGAAAGCCAGGAGGATGAAGGTGAATCAGGTTTTAGACTCCAGGGCAGGATGAGTGATGGTAAATGAGAACACACTGAGGGCTTTAAGTACCAGGCTAAGACAAGTTTAAACTTGCTCTAATACAAACATCCTAGACCTAAATTTCCTGAGCAGGTAGGTCCCTAGCAGCATCCCAAAAGCCAGAAGTATTCAAACAAAGACTGGACCTTGTAGATAACTTTCAAAAACAGAAAACGATTCTGAGTTCCAATAACTATGCACTTGTAGAACGAATTTACTCATATCAAGGAAAATCACATTAAGTAAACAGAAATTAATAGTAGCTAATACAATTGAGTCAAACCTCTATTTTAACAAAAACATTAAAGGGAACTTTCACACTGCACTCAGTTGCCACTTTTGAAAGCCATACCTGTTTATGTCTTTCAAAAGACATTAACAGGTATGTCTTTAGTTTCACAGTTCAGAGTGGTCACTACAGCCACACACACAAATTTTCTCAGCTGAACAGCATTTCCCTACTTTATAGGGATCAAAGAGAACAAAGATGTGAACTGCACCTAAGCATGGAAGCCAGAGATGCTGCCTTCTTTCTTACTATACTCTAATTACAAAACCCTGTTGCACAGCTAAAAAGCAGGCGAATGTGTAGAATCATGGTATGCTCAGGGAGTGTTTTCCCAGTGCTACTACTATTAAGTATTTGCATATCTTCTTATCTTCTATTCACTTTCATAAATGTTCCTCTGCCCTCAGTGATACAAGCCCATTTTAGCCTTCAGCTCAATGTTTCCATTATACACCTTTTATCTTGGGATTAAGGCACTAAAAATAAATTAACCTACAGTTAATTTCTCTGGGAAGTAAGCAGTTGTTTTCCCCAATGCACATGCAAGCAAGTTTGCATGTTATCTTCAGAAAATAAGCCTGCTGAAAAGGTTGCTTTTTAAAATGCCACCCTTTGCCCACCCCATGCTGTTGTCAAATGCAGTATTTAATTCATTGACAACATCCATCAAATAAGTTCTAGCACTCTATCACAAAAGTACACAATTTTTACTTTCTCTTCTTTAAACTGGACGAGGTAAGTAAATTACAACAAGAATTAGGATTCCTCTTGAATGGCTTTCATAAAATGAGCAAAAAGAACGTTTCCACCTTCCACAAAGGTACCAGGCACTGAAGCCAGAGACATTAGGAACCCGGAGAGCCAGTAGGAAGAGACTCATCTGGCCGCTTTACAGTCGCTAACAGTCACCCTGCTCGCTGGACAGACAGAGACAGACAGGCTCTGGAAGCTTCCAGTTCATTTTGAGACCCACCACACGGAAGAAAAAGCTCGGCAGCTGGGGTTTTGGAGGGAGGGAACGCGCTGGTGGGGACTCGGAGCAGCCGGGTGGGGCACGCCGGCACGTCAGCGGCCTCGAAAGGCGCTGACTACAGCCTGCCCGGACCGAGAGCCCAGTCTCGGGCTCGGCCGCGGCCCGGCGACCAGCGACGATCCAGGGCGGCTCAACTCGCAGACCTCCCGTGGCCCCCCCGAGTCATCCTCTAACCAGCTCATGGGTAGGTATCCTAAAGGCCAGGCCACCAGGTTCGGATCCCCTTGTGGAACGGTGCTCCCACCCCCCCAAGCCGCCCTCCAGCCATCCATCCGCCCTCCAGCCATCCATCAGCCCACCGACTTGGAGTTCCCCTCTCCGCAGCCCACGCCTGGCTTCTCCCCTAGCCTAGGACCGCCCCCCCACCAGCACCTTGCAGGTTACACTTACGGGGTGCACCGGTCGCTGAATTCGTTTGCGATGGTTTCAATGCCCCCGGCCCGGGCCACCGCGATATAGCAGCTCTGGGAACCCACGTCCAGCCCTACCACCGACATGACTAGTTCGCGGTGCGCCTCCGCCTCTGGTCTGGGCTCGCGTCTTCCCGCCGCTGCGCGCGGCTCTCACAGGGTCCGGCCGGCCCTCTGTCACTCGGGCGCCCGGGCGGCTTCTCGGGGACAGTGGTGGTTCACAGAAGGCTCACCCAGAGGCAGGCAGCGCCGTATCTCCTCTGGCCGTTCCAGTGACTTCCCGGATCTGCAGAGGATCACTCCACGATTGGCGCCCAACTACCGACCCAAAAGGGGAGGGCTCAACTCCTCAGCCGTATTTATCGCACTGATCAGAACTTTCCAGAATCTGCGGCATTTACTCACCGGCGCCTCCACCGGCCCTTCCACGTGCCACTTCCGCTTCCTTCTTCTGGAGCCTTCTCGAAAGACTCCACCCAATGGGGCCGTGGTCCCCGGGGGAGGGGGGGTAAAATGACCGCCGTTGCCATAGCGGCAGGAGAGCCGCTCCCGCGCTATTGGCTCAGTTGGACAGGCCACCCGCCCACGCCCTCCGGTCCCCCACCCCAGCCCAGGCCCTCGCTCCTTGCAGTTAATCCTACGGGCTACGAAGAGTGATTCGAAAAATCGTCACCTTCGTAGTTTACTCGTGGGTAGTACGGTCCGACCCCTAGACTCTGACGTGAAACCCGCACGGATGCTGAGAGTGTGGACCAGTTATCAGGACAGCATGTTGGGAAATGTAGTCCTGTGGGGAGTCGGTGTGCGCCTTGCATGCTGGAGCCTGTAGTCTTGGCAGCAGTACGTGCTGGGACCTGGCTTTGTCTTGGGGAACTCTCGTGAGAGCCAGCCTCCCTCCATTGCAATTGCGCGCTTTCTGGAGCAGCCGTGTTAAGTCCGATGGCCGTTTGTCTGGTGTTTGTGTGTGTAGTGGTCTATGTTATCCTACAGTTGGTAGGTTATGGAGAAGGAATATCCGTCTACACCCCGATTAATAAGCACGGGTTTTGTGTTAAATGTTCGCATATTCATCAGTCGGCAGGTATTTGGAATAAAATGTCAGGTTTTGTTTTTTCCTTTTTTAAAAGCATTTTTTGGATGTGGCGCGATTTGGAAGCCTGGCTGTGGTGACTCTTGGCTACCGGTTTTTGGTACGTCTTACTCGCGCAGGCTTTGTGCTGTCCTGCCGCTCCTAGCCATGCATTGTTTGATAATGATTTTCTTGTTTAACCTGAAACCCTATTTGTTTGTCCTGAAAGGCGATGTTCCTATTAACTTTTCAGTCAAGAGTCAAGCATGAAAAGAAAGAAAGGTAGAACTCCAGTACGGTTATCAGGTCTTTCATACCCTTCTGTATCGTTAAGTTTGCCTGGTATCTTCTGTCCTCACTCTTCCTCAGGCTCATAGAACTGCAAGCACAGTTCAAACGCGTGCGACTAGTTAAGTTAGGAGTTGTTACCTAAAGTCACAAAAATCTAAGTTCTGGGAAGCGGCAAATCTTTGGTAAAGTCAGATACGAGACTGGAAGGCTCGGTTTATGATAAAATGTAAATTGTAATTTTTTAATGGGTGGCCTAGCATTTATACCTACTTAATCAGTTGCTGCACTTAACTCACCTTTAAAATGGGGACAATAATAGTAGCTATCTAAAGGTGAAATTACTTTGGTTGTGTCTTACAAAAAAACCTTCCTTGCCACCACTTTTTTGCATATCAAAACTTTATATTAAAATTCATGGACTCATAGCACTTTTGAACAGAAATAGAAGTTTGAGATTTTTGGGGGGGTGCTTCCCACATTCTGTATGTGCAGAAAAGATTTGGATCTGGTTGAAATCCTCGGGCAATAGTACCGTACTCAATAGTACAGCCTGTAAGAGCTCTGGCCCTCCTGGAGTTAGACTTCATGGCTTGAATCTTGACTGTATATACTTAACTAATTTGGTAGCTGTGTGACCCTGAGAAATTATTAAGCCTTCCTGTGTTCCACTTCATAAGGTGCATGTAAAAAATGTATGTAAAGCACTAAACATGTCATTAGTAGGTAATAGCTACGCAATCTTCAAATTCTGTGTCCCTCAGTTTCTCACCTATAAAATGGAGACCCTTCTTGTTGGGAATTGGGAAGGATTAGATAGAAATAAAACATTTAGTATGTTAGTAGGCATTCCTAGCATATTGGGAGGGGGGGTTATACATTTTTGTAGGCCCCTTTTATTTAATCAGTCCACCTTAACTATTTTTTTGGAATGGGTGAGTGTGTAGGGTTCATTGTTATGAGAGACCTGAAGAGAAGTTGGGTAGAAGTTGGAGTCTAGGGTTTAAGCCAGCCCTGAGACCAACCCTACCTCCAGGTTTAAGTTATATGAACTTAAACATCTTACTATTCAAGCCACCTTCAATTAGGGGTCTCTGTTATTTGTTGTCAAAAACATCCTAATTTCCTCAGGAAGGTAAGTCTTCCTTGATCATAGTATGTAATGTACCTCCTGATTACTATGACATTACCTGTTTGTTTCCTTTACAATATATACCACAATCTACAGTTATCTTATTTGCTTGTTTCCCCTCTTTAAGTTGTATGGCTTAGGAAGACAGTGACCTTGTTTTTCTTCTTCATTGTGCCTTATAGATGCTGAATAAATATTTGGTGAATGATTGAATGATAAAAGCATTATCATAACCTTACTGGAAAAAAGACATCAGCTTTCTTCCAATACAGGGTTTCTTCTAACACAGGTCTACCTTGGCACTGTTGACATATAAGGGCAGATCATTCTTTTGTGGGGCACTGTCCTGTGCATTGTAGGATGTTCAGCATCATCCCAAGCCTGTATCCACTGGGTGCCAGTGACAGAAAAGAAAATGTCCTCTGACTGAAAACCACTGCTATATATAATATCCGTAAAATTTTAGTTACACTTAAATGGCCCAAAAAGGGCATAATCTTAAGAACTGTTTTTGAGATAAAATAGAGTAATGTTTTGATTTCTGAACCACAGAGGCTAAGAGGTGATATAGTTATGAATGAGTCAGACAACTCCGCACATGTGAGAAAAAGGACAGGGGAGAGGAGTTAGTGTCCTGTGTCTATTCTGAAATATAATAAAGTAAATTAAAGACCTTAGACATAAAGATGATTCATTTTAGTACAGACTATGTATTCGAATTTGCCCCGTTGAAAGGAGGTGCTGTCATTTTACTGGAGGGGAGGGAACGACCACCAAAGTGTTGCTTTATTCATTATGTCAGATAGATTCTGAAACCAGGCTGTATCTGAACTGCAGAGATGCTAGCATCATTATGGATGCCATCCTTGGGTGGCATATTCAGTTCTTGGAACCCAAATGAGTGAATGATCCATGGAGGAGGGTGTGCAAGTGAGACTGATCTTACCCTTGGTGTGCCAAGTGAGATGAAATCTTCCTCCTAGAACATTTTAGAGAATTGGCTACCTGCTTGCAAAGTCAACTCTTGGTAAGGATGAATATAATCACAAAGGTCAGTTGTTTATTAGCAGACAACTAGAGTGATGTGGAAAAGAAGCAGATGTGACAACTAAGACTCATGGAAATTAAAGTTGCTTTATTTAATTCTCCAACATAAAGGAAAAACAGCAAAAAGGGTATTTCTTGCTGATTCTGAATGATGACTCCACAATCATTACTCGTGCCTTCCAACAGCCTTCTGCATCCAGAGGCATAGGTGTAGGATATGTTAGCCTTGGGGAAGACTTGCCCTCCATCCTCAGAGGGAAAAGCACGGTGACTGAGGAAGCTGCTGTTGCTGACCCTGAAACTAACTCTTCAAATTGTAAAATGTCAAGTTTTTTTCTGCAGAGGAAGTTTGTAAATGGGTATCTTTTATTTTAAAAGGGTACATTCCACAAATATGTTACGGCACTATATGTTACGCTTGCAAAGGCTCTCATCTGAGGCAGTCACCATTTATCAACCCTTGTTCCTGCCTGGCAGTAGCATACATTTTTGTCCTTGGTCGCTGAAGGGAGGGAACAGGGTCAGCCCAAGAGACAAAGTCAGGAAAGTCTGTCTTAAGCTCCTGACCCTGCCTTTCCATGCCTGTCTCTAGCCTCATTCACTGTCAAGTGTGTCTCCTAAATGTCCCACAATGCAAATGCGTTGCTCCCTGGGCCAAGGTGCTTAACCAGTCTATACATGTTCTGCCCCTACCTCACTTCTCTGGCCTTCCCAGGGCTGAGCAGCCTGAGCAGCCTAACCAGCCACTGACAGCCCTGCTGTCTTACAGCATCAGCTTGCTGCAAGGCAGTGAAAAGGTGCCTGTCCCTCCCAGAACAATCCATGACAGACTGTTTTCCTTCTGGTCCTGTACTGGCCTGGCCTGTTCTTCCAACTGGTGAGGACACCACCTAGAGAGGAGGGAGTACAATGTACGCTTGCTACCCTTGGGGGCAATGAAGAAAGAACAGACCTTTTTTGTTTCTTGAGAGTACAGGAAATCCCATTCTTACTACTGTGGCCTGTGACATGTCCTTCAGGGTCACCTTTGTCCTTGAACAGAATTTCAGTTCTTTCTGGGGCCAAGTAAAGTGTGTCTGTGAGTAAAGGGGTGTTGGGGAACTTGGCAGGGATGGGGGAGGGAACTGCAGTGTCAAGGAGCCTTAGGCTGTTTCCAAGGAGGGTTCCAAAGATCCTGGTGACTTTCTTCAACAGCAGTGGGTCTCCAGGACATCAGTTGTGCTAAAATAAAGCCAATATGGCCAAACTTTGGGCTTTTAAATATACACTTACAGATTGCATAATTAAAATGCCTATTAGCCTTCAGCTTGAAATATTTTTCTAACTAGTCCCTTGTGCACATTGCTAGCAGAGAGTAGCCCTGCCTTCACCAATGATGGATGAGAACAGCAGTCTGCCCTGGGGACATGGTGATGGACCTGGAAAGGTTCAGGGCCAGTCAGCAGGCTGTGGGTTCTGTGCTAGAGAGAATTACAGACAATATGTTGGACTCCTGTGTCTGCAGACGGACCTGAGTGTAACTCCTGGCATTGCGATCCCTCTTGGGCAACAACCCAACCTCTGAAATCTTACCTGTAGAATGTGGATAGAAATGGCCAATGAATTAAATAAGCAAAGTGTGTGCCACAGAAAGGGGGTGTAGTAAAGGGCAGTTGTGGTTGTTAGTGCCTTGTAAGGCACCACCAGGCACCTGGACTCCCCTGTCTTCTCCCAGTGAGACGACAAGACTGCTCACTTGTCCGCACCTTTCAGGGTGCTGCTCATAGTGCATGACTGCTGAGGTAACAGTTCACAGGTTTCAAAACATTAGACTGGTATGTGTTAATATCTTTACAGATAATCCAGAATCAGGAATCCAATT